CTCTTGTCCCACTATCATGCTCAGCCTTCATTTGGGTTTCAGTAATTCCTCTCAGTTACATTACCCTTGATCACACCCTACCAGGCCTCCCACACCCTCCTCACCACCGATTTGGATCACTTGTTGTTCCTTTGTCCCTTGGTTTGTTAACACCACTTCCTTTCCCCCCACTTTTCCCTCTCCCATGTCCCCCCGAAACCGTCGGTCCCATTGTTTTCTTCTCCAGATTATTCATCCAGACGATCTTATTTAGACAGACCTGCGGAGATAGTAACATGCACAAAAACAAGACAGAGCCAAACAAAGCAACAAAAGAAAACTAAACAACAACACCAAAAAGCCAATGACAAAACAACAACAAAGAAAAGCCTGTAGTTAATTCAAGGACTGTTTGTTGACCTTTAGGAATGTTTTCTGGTCGAATCTGATGGGGTGCCAAGCCCTGGCCCCAAAGTTTATTTTTGGTATTCTCTGGGGACTTCATTGATCTGTTCCCCTCGCTGTTCTATTGCACGCTCGTAGTGTTTTGCCTCGGTGTGGTGGGATCAAATTGGGCGCAAAAACTACCTTTTTTAAAAAAACCCAAGTCTCTGCCTTTGCTTTCTAAAGAATGTCTCAACTTGAGACCAGGCGAGAAAGGGTTATTCAATGACAAATGAAAATGTGACTGCGTCTCAGATACACTTAATTTAAATCAAGAGCTATCGTCTAGCTCTGGGATAGAGTGCTACTGTTTTTATTCTGTCTGAGAACGCTGTTTTCCTAGAGATGTCAGCTACTATTTGGTCTCGGTGTGTAGGAATTGTTTATGTGCCTGTGCAAGTGTGACCAAGAGGAATAAATGACTTTTTAAAAATGTGATTTAAAGTTTTACAAACGTATCTGTCTTGTGTTGCAGAAGCTCTGAAAGCGAAGCGGCCTCGCTTTGATGTGTCCCTGGTTTACTTAACTCGAAAGTTCATGGACCTTGTCCGGTCTGCTCCCGGGGGGATCCTTGACTTAAACAAAGTGGCGGCAAAACTGGGAGTACGGAAACGGAGAGTGTACGACATCACCAACGTCTTGGATGGGATCGAGTTGGTTGAAAAAAAATCCAAGAACCATATTCGGTGGATGTGAGCTGCTTTGGCTTTTGATTCACTCCCCCTTCTTTAAAAGGAGCCAGGGACGCCAGTGGGGGAGAGTGGAGAGCAGTGACCTGGGCCTTCTAGTTAGAAAGGGAGTCAGACCTTTCTGCAGAAAATCGGCAGTAGAGGGCAGCAGTTATCTAGGAGGTTTGAAAAGATGATTTCTTCCCCTGCAGTCGGTTCGTGATGTCAGGAGGAACTCAGTGAGGGTGCAAAAATAATCATTCTTCACATGTTAGTGTAACAAGCACCTGGACACACACATAGTCACACGCACACTTCTGATTCAGTGGTCCTGAGAGAAGGCAGGAATCTGCATTGTTATACCCCAGATGATGATGATGATGCAGGTGGGCTGTGGATCACACGTGGTAAGCATTAAAGAAGATTGGGGATTCATGATCTGCAGAGTAGAGAGATCTGACTTAAATTAACATCTAATGACAATTGCTGAAGACTTTCAGGACGTGATTAGGAAGAATCCCACGGGGAAAGGGACTTTAGGAGATTTTTACTTTTAAACACACCCACATACACAGAGAGCAAGCTTGTGCACACAGTAGTCAAATAGAGACCTTTCAGGCAAATGAAATTTCAGCAAGTACCAATATAGTTCTCATTAATCAACATAGTTATGAAGGGGCTTCAGAAAGTTTGTGGGAACATGGAATTAAAGGATAATGGGATTTTTAGGGGCCCTTTTAAAATACGTCAGGGATTCAGATCCGATTGTGTTCTGAACCGCTAGCTAAAATCAGATTTGGAAGGTAGCCAGCAGAGATTAAGTGGGAACAGCCATTGCTCTTTAAATCTCGAGGACAACAATGACTATCAGTTGTTGCTCGGGCCACTTCAGATTGGAGTAGAAAGAACTACAGAGAACCACGCTTACCTTTGAAGATGAGGAATTCAGCCGTTGTATTCAAATAGAGCCAGGTAGAGCATGCGCCTCCCGGAAAAATACAGCATCGTGTACTTTCAGCGGAGGAGCCCTCGTGGCCGACACGCTTGCTTGTCGTCTTTGAAAGCAAAGCTACGAAAGGACAGCTTGTCTGAGGTCACGAGCGGGCAGTAGTAGTGGCTTGGACGGGACCGCAGCTGCTCAGCCCACTCCTCTTCCCGGTGCATTGAGCTTTGTGTGCTGTTCGTTTCAACACGGTCACAATGTATTTAGAAAGTGCCAATGTAAGTACAGAGATGACACCGGCTGTCCAGACTAAGAGCAGGAGTTCATTTGAAGCACTTTCTGCCATTTTGGAAAAACACTTAAACATTTGGGGAAGTTCAGTAACTTTAATTTGTAATTATTTCCTGTAGTGTCTCTGATGTTATTTGTGTGTCTATGTGTATATGTATATGTGTCTCCTTTTTTTAAGAGGATCTGATCTGAGTAATTTTGGAGCAGTCCCCCAGCAAAAGAAGCTCCAGGAGGAGCTGTCTGACTTATCAGCAATGGAAGATGCTCTGGATGAATTAATTAAGGATTGCGCTCAGCAGCTGTTTGAATTAACAGATGACAAAGAAAATGAAAAATATCCTTTGACGTCTGTTTCCAAAAGAACGTGTGCTTTAAATCGTGGTGTTAACTTGGGGGTTTAGTTTTGTGTTTAAGACACAGCTAAAAATAGGAGAACTTTAGCAGTGAAAGTAAGTAAACCTCTAGCCTCAAATGCACACAGAGGAGACGTCGTTGCCTTTGGCCTGTCTGGCGTCTCTGTGGGGTGAGTGTGCGCTGACCTCAACGGGGCAGAACTGTCAGCATTTCCATTGAGTACGCGAGTGGAGCTGGCTTTTCCTTTGTGCCGTCTGAACAGTTGGGCGACGGTGAAATTGTTGAGCGGCTTTTGCTTCGTTCATGCTTTCCCAGTTGGTGAGCTATTTGTTTCCGAAACAGCGAACTGCCGGCCAGCAAAATGTGCTTTCCCAGAAAAGTTCTCCATGAGAGCTAGCAGTGAATAAGAAATAGGCTGGGAACTGAACACTCTCGTGAGTGTGTGGGTTTGTGTTAGGACTTAGATCCTATCATGGTCTCCAAAAATGGTTGTCGTACTTATACGGTAGTACAGTTTAAATGATCATCACATCTGAATAATTGTTTATGAAACAGAAATTATAGTGAGAACCTCAGTTGTCACACGGCTCCAAGCTTGAACTTGATGCTATTCAAACAGCCAAACTTGAAGGAAAAAAAGATCTCCTCAGTGTTTGCTCCATAGTCAACCCGAACATCCGACTGGGAAAAACCTGTCCACCCGTCGGGGCCAAGAGGGAGGGGGTCCTGTGTCACATCTCTCCTCGGGCACCAGGTGGGGACCTTCCATCCGAGCGCCGCTCTGCCCCAGACCACTGGTCACTGCTTTTCACGGCACTTGATTTGCATAAAGTACCAGCACGGCGGCTCCAAAGGAAGGGCGCTCTGCTGGCAGTAGAGCTGGGAGACGACGGAACCACGATGGCGCCAAAGAAAGACGTCACCCGCGTGGAGTCAGAGTCAGGGTGATGCTGGGCTCCTTGGGCGGCTGAATACAGCATGGCAGCTAAGTGACGTTATCTACCTTTTTTGGAGAAAAAAATGTGATCAAAGTGGCTAATGTAGCAAAAGTTATGAGATCATTAAGCATGAAACAAAGAAGCGAGACCATTGAAGAAGCTGAAAAGTGGCTGTTAATTTGGATAAATTAACCAACAACTCAATGGTGAGCAAAGCCGAGCTAGCAAATAGGCGAGGAGGCTAAAAGCCTTCAGCGCGAACTTGTAAGTGTAACTCTTGGGCCTCAGAACTAATTATTTGGTTTTCCATTATTTCTCAGGCGAAAAAGATATGCAGTCCTTGAGCTTTTTGGTGTTTAAATGCAAATTTGGAACGAATTTGACAACCGAGGTATCACTGTATATATAAAATGCTTTTTAAGTTACTTTTCATCCTTTGATTGTTAGGTTTCCATCTTGAAACAGAAACCTAACAGTGTTCTAATGTAGTTGTCTGCCCGCATTGGGGGTGAGTGGGTGGGTGAGTGAGTGAGTGAGTGAGTGGGTGAGCGAGCGAGCGGGCGGGCGGGCAGGTGAGCAGGTGAGTGGGTGGGTGGGGTGCCTGAGGTCGCCATGACTTGGAACTGACTTGCCAGCAACTAGTAAGGGCCGCGCTGCTCACAGATCCTTAACTGACCTTTACACTCGCGTATGTGACCTACCGAGACATCCACAGCATCCGAGCTTTCCACGAGCAGATCGTCATTGCGGTTAGAGCGCCAGCAGAAACCAGGCTGGATGTCCCCGCTCCCAGAGAAGTAGGTGGCAAAGCATTGTATTCAGTGTTTGGGAGTGGGGCCTGCCAATTACTTAGGTTATGCTTTCATTAAGCAATAGTAAATAGTAACTCAGGAACCATTCCGTGCATTGTAAGGAGCCTTGGGGTGAAGTAGGTTAAGCACGGAGTTGCTGTCACTAAGCGCGGTCGGGTTTGAACCCGCAGACCGCTCTGCAGGAGGAAGCTGCAGCTGTCTGTTCTTGTAGAGATTCACTGGGTCACCCTGAGACAGGAGCAACTGACTGGCAGTGGGTGTGGGTGTGGGTTTGCTACGCACCTGTTGGCTACATACCCAGTTTTGTTCAAGACGCGTTACACACTCTAACTCTTTCTGATTAATGTAACAAATGATTGAGTCATTTCTCTTAAAGAAGGAAGGAAGCTTAAAGAAAGCTGGAGCAGTCTTTCAAGGTCAAGTAGCTGGGGACACGAACTCCAGCACAGCTAGTTCACGTCCTGGTTTATGTCCTGATAGCCATCATGTTGTAACTCGTTTAGAGGGGTTACCAACAAGAATCGGCCTCAGACTTGAAGTTCTTCCAAGAGTAGTGTCAAGTGTCAGCCGAGACGAAATAACTTCACCTCCTGACCACAGTGCCAAAAAAGACTAGTGAGTAGACCAGAACACTGTCATACTTTTACACGAAAACCAGGATTGCTGTGAATGAAAATATTCTGATCAGCTGCTTAGCACATTCTTTCCCTCGCAGGAAAGTTTCTTTTGAAAGGTAATTGCCCCCAGAATGTTGCTTGGTAAGGGTGGAATCAGAATGAAGGGATGTGGCCATTCTTGGGACAAGTCATCCAGTTGGGGCAGCCTCGTAGGCACAGCGGAGCTTGGAATGATGCAGCCTGCTGTTGCTGTAGGGACACACCGCCCCGTACTGAAGCGTGTGTCTGATGTCCGCCTCTCCTTGTAGCCCAAGCAGGCCATGGTCCGAGGGAGACCCCGGGCTGCTACTTTGATCGTTGGTCGATTAGAGAGAGGATTGGTTTTTCTCAGTCGCATCCTTCTTGTGACTTCTTGGTCTTGCTTCATGCGTTTCAGATGAGGATTTATATCTATTTAAGTCTCTTAAGTAGCAGTTATGTTTACTATGAGTCATTTCATAAATATGTAAACTGCTTACAAAATTAGTCACCGTTCATCAGTATATCTTAGTTTGGCGTTATGCTGGTTCCTTTTATCATGATTAAGGAGTTTGTTTCCCTCTTACGCTGTGCGCTTCCTCAGACTGATTGCCAGACGTGCCGAGCCTTCGCTCACAACCCAGGCGTGGCCTGTCTTAGGGCCAAGGGCGCCTGTCCGCAGTGGAAGTAAGCGGAAGCAACAGCACCCAGCTCGGGGGAGAGTGGCTACAAAGATGGGCAGAGAGTAAGCGGTGGGGCCAGGGTGTGGGTCTGATGCAGCGGTTGGCAAACGAGGGTCCGATTAGTCACTGTCGACGAAGAGGGGCTGTGGAACCGAGCTGCCCACTGGCTCTTTAGATGGCTTGTATGCCCCGCCCTGGTGGCAAAGTTGAGTAGTTGTGTCATGGACTGTGCGACCCACAAAGCTGAAAAGAGTGCTGTCTCACCCCGCACTCAAGTTTGTCAATCCTCCGTCTAATGGAATGCGCAGCTCGACGTTGCTGGCCAGAACGGAGCAACTTTTATTTTGTAAAACAATGATTAATTGTGCCAGATACGTTATGCAAGCTACACCTGAACTGGCCGGCTGGCCGCCGAGCCTGCACACATTCTCTGCCCCGGGCAGCTGGAGAGGCTGACCCAGGAGGTTCTGAGACACTGGGGAGCAGCCTGTGTGGCCTCACTGTTCCCTCCGTGAGGCGAGGAGCCGTGGCTGCTGGGGCCAAGCCAGGTGCAGCCCCCATTTAGCAAAAGAAAACACAGGAATCATTTCGAGCAAGGACCATTCCTTAAGGATTTGCATCCCTCTCAGGAGTGGAAGGGGTCCGTTTCCCAGGAGAGCACATGAAACCAAGTATTTTAGTTACCTTTAATAATGAAGACACTTTTAACACCCAATTCCTCAGGGTTTTCAATAATGTTATCTCTTCCTTGTAGTTTTCAAGGTGGACCACAGAATGGTCCTTTCGATTAGCTCAGCACCTCTGGTGTCTGGAGAAAGAGTCACCTCCTGGAACGGAGGAGACTAGGGGCTGTGTAGTGTTGAGATTTTTTTCTTACGACTCCAAAAACATCCCTACTTGATTAAGAATCTATTTTAACTCAGCAGATTCATATGACTAAAGCCAAATACGTAATTTTCTCAACATACATCATAGGATAGAAAGGACAGTTCCTGAAGCTAAGTGTTCAGAAAATTCCCTCAAAACTTTATAGTCCTGAGGGTAGGGGGAAGGTGGGGGCAGGAGGGAAGGGAGGAAGGGGGAACTGATCACAATGATCCAGGCATAATCCCCACCCCACCCCAGGGGGGGTGAACAATAGAAATGTGGGTGAAAGGAGATAGCAGTCAGTGTAATTTATCAAGGGGTCATGGGGTGTGGGGGGGAGAGGAGCTGATACCAAGGGCTCAAGCAGAAAGCAAATGTCTAGAAAATGGTGCTGGCAACATATGTACAAATATGCTTCATGCAATTGATGTATGGAAGGTTATGAGCTGTAAGAGCCCCCAATAAAATTACTATTTTTTTTAAAAAAACACTTATAGTCTTACTAAAAAAAATAAGATGAATGGAGATTCTCATATTCACCTTATGATTTACGTATTTTGCCAGGACTCTGTCACGGTGCATATCAGGAGCACCAACGGGCCTATCGATGTTTACTTATGTGAAACAGAGCAGGAAGACCGAAATCGCAGAGCGCCCGCACCTGAAAGCAAGCCCGCAGAGAGCCAGGCGGAAGGTGAGCGGCCTCCTCCGAAAATCCTGGAGGTCTAGGGAGGGTGTGTCCGGCCTTACCACGGTCTTCACGCTTCCTGTCCACGGAGAGTTTTCAGTAGTGAGCCATTCTTATCGTAGATTAGCATACGAAGCTCAGTTTTTAGCTGCGAAGTTTAACGAACTTGTCTTTCGTTGTGGTGTCGGCCAACCCTGGAACCCGGATGGCGGCCCCTCGTGGGGTCTCCCTCCCGGGGCCCGCCTTCTCAGTACAGCTTGCGGCTGATGTGTGATGAGCCGCGGGCTGTGGGCTTTTAGCCTCAGGGCTTGTTTTTAAAGGCAGCTGATATGGTCTGTTGGTCATCTTAGGGTTTCCCTCTTCCGTGTTTTTATTTTGTTTTCCAGAAGAGAACCGCCCTCAGCAAAGTCGAGAATTGCTGGCAGTGAGCAACTGAGGACGGACGGACCGACGGACGAGGTCCGTTTGCAGCCTCCAGCGTGGACGAATGGGGCGGCGGAGTCGGCTCTCCGCAGGGCGACATCCCGGAGTTCCCCATGGCGGGACCAGCAGTCCCTTCCTCATCCGTAGCATGTAGGCCAGGAGCAGTTCTCTGGACATTTGGGAAGGACTCGTTGGACCACGTGTGCTGCCTGTTTGTCAGGGAGGCGGACATCCGGCCTGCGGAAGTGACTTCACCAAGCGCATCCCGCACTCGGGTGGTCCAGCCTGCAAGGGGGGCGCTTCGGGGGTGGGTCCCTGCCCCTCAGTGACTGCGTGTGGGGATCCACAGAGGAAATTGCCTTACACTGGTTCATGTTTGCATTCAAGTGTGGTAAATTGGACGGCTGTGCACAGATGAATCTGAATGTGATGTGTATACATATGTGTATCATGAAAATGTCTAAGGGAAACCACCACTGTACAGCTAAAGCACTGTATAGATGGAAAGTAATTGACAGATTCTCTAATTTCTGTGGTGTTTATAACTTATTAGAATCCTCTTACTGAGGGTTAGAAGAGAGTTTTTTTCTTCTTTTTCAAACTTCTACATGTAGAAGGATCGAACTGTGCTATACATTTAAAATTCATGAATTCAAATATTGTAATACAATTTCTAATGCCTACATTAGCGTGCAACATGTCTTGCTATCAAGCTACTAGTAGGGTCACTGCGTCCCGCTAGGCTGATGGTGTGCTCTAAGGCTTTAGGGCCCATTACAGGAAAGCTATTATAATGATGGTTTAATTCATCATGAGACGTGTTCAATGATGGTGAAAATTGGTAACTACTTTAAAGCTCCTGGCAAGCAGATGTTGTAGTGTGTCTCTGTAAGCCAACAGCCTTGTTTCCAATCAGTGGCTTTCCTTAGAATGAGTTGGACCCTGGCCCGCCTCCAGCCCAGTCCCACATTCCAAGCCCTAGCCATGTCTACCTCACTGGACAAGTCATTGGCCACTCTGTGCCTCAGTCAGCTTAGTCGCTTGCCATTCGACTGTGAGTCCCTGGATGGGCTTTGTCTTACTCTTTGTTGTGCTTCAACGTCTTGCACCAAGCCTGGCACATGGAAGGTGCCAGATGTGTGCTCGAACAACTCAGCGAGTGAGTACGTGTGTGCGTTCCACATTGAGCTTCACAAATCATGACGTGTCTGTCGTAGGAGAGTCTCACCAGCATCACTCAAATTCTCACTGTAAACCCCTCTGGCTTTCTAAGAATGATCTGATGCAACTGGAAATCAAGAGTGTATCATAAGATTTAAAATAAAAATCAAACTTTTTAAATATTGAAAAGCATGGTAGCAGTGAAGTATTTCTTTGAAGTGCGACTGGGCGGGAATTTCCCAGAGTGCATTTTCTGAGCTGAGACATACCTGCGCTTAGGACGGAGGCTTCTCATGCCTCGAGCAACAGGGACTTCTGCAGTTCACGGCCCATAGCTCGGTGCCGGCAAGCTGCTGGCCTGGAGCTACTCTGCTCCTCTCCATGCCTGGCTGCCACCATGCCTTTTTTCTCTGACTCTTTCTTCTTTTTTTTTTGGCAAGCAAAAAGCTATTTGAAAAGCTACAGGGGCCACTACTTGATTACCACTGGAAGAGAACCCCTTGTTTCCCAAATTGAGCAGTCGTGCCCCCTGCCAGGGTGCTGGGCTGGTCCCGAGGGGCTGCAACGTCAGAGACCCCACGTTCTCCTGGATGAGCTAGATGATCCAAAAGTCTTCCATGCTCAAGGGCACACCGAGTCCTCCTTTCCTCTCTCTAAAAAGGGGCCGTTGGCCAAGTGTGGCAACTGAGAGACTAACTGGGGGTGCCGTTGAGCAGACTTGAGAGTCCAAGAGAACCAGCAACATCAGGGTGGACATCTTGTTCGATGAACGTGTGAGAGGTGAGGCAGGACGTGGTGTGTGATGCAGAGCTCTGAGCTCTGCGGGAGAGAGTTGGCCATCAGTGTATAACCAGAAGCATGGGAGAGGCCATCTCATGAGGGCAGCGCAGGGCAAAGGGAGAGGGAGACCGGAGAGACCAGCCCTGGAGAAAGGCATTGTGTTAGTCCTGGTTGACTAGAGAAACAAATCCAGAGAGACACGTGTGTATAAGAAAGAGCTTTATATATAAGAGCAACTGAATATTGAGAAATGCCCTAGCCCAGTCCAGATCTAGTCTATAAGTCCAATATAAGCCATCTGTCTGATAGCAATCTATAAAGTCCTCTTCAGACTCACGCAACGTGTGCAATGATGCTGAGGGCAGGAAGATCACAGACCAGTGGGTGGAAAGTCTTGTGGATCCAGTGGTGGTATAAGCATCTCAGCCCTGGCAGGGGTCTCCACGGGGCTCCATTTGTCTTGTCAACGGAAATATCTCCCAGGGAGTAAGGGTGGGTCCCGCCTCCTATTTATCGCCTTAGCACCTCCCAACAAGGTCATCAAGCTGCAACCTGATTGACGGGCTAACTACCCTTTCACTCTTAATCCTCTTAAATTGACAACCGATTATGTAACTACCACAAGAATCCTGCTTTGTAAGTAGAAGTCCAGCAAAAAAGACCTTCCACGAGAGGCATTGACCCCATGCCTACTACAACGGGCTTAGACGTAACTGAGGCTGGCACAGGATGGGGCAGTGTGCCAGTCTGCGGTAGATAGGGTCACTGTGAGTCCAACCTGATGCCAGAGCACTTTAACAGCGACAGGGGAAACCTTTCCTGAGAATGCAAAACAAGCTCATGCCCCCCCAAACAAAGAACCTTGCCGAAGGTGACTGCATGATTTCGGAGGCTCAATTCCTGCTTAGAAGATGCGACAGATGTTCCTTACAAGTTGAATCCTGTCAGCAGAAGGCCTTTGCAACCTTTCCAGGTGTTAGACACCTGTGCTGAAGTCTTCCTCCACCCCAGTCTCTCTCAGTTCAGGTGTTTCTCTCCCTTTTCAGACTGCTCTCAGGTCTCGCTCCCCACTCTCCTGAACCTCACTTCCCTCCGTAGCTCTGCTAGAACATTCTCCAAGATCACATAGCCCCTGTTCAGAAGCCTTGGATGTTTCCCATATTTCCTTTAGGCCCAAGGGCAGGCTGTGAAATACAGTCCGAACGTAACTTTGCAAACTTGTCTTGCTCTCTTGCTTCACAAGCCCCCAACCCGAACCAAGCCTGGAACACCCAATTGCAGGTCGCCATCTCAGCCTTCGCCCTTCCTAGCCTGCCTGGAATCTCTTCCTCGTCCCAGCACCCAGCCTAGCCAGGCGTGGCCTACACGCCTGCCTCCCTTCACTTGGCTCGGAGCTTGCACCCAGTCCCTACAGGGCCTTAGGTGCCTGTCTTGGTTTTCCGTGCTGCACTGCATGCTCTCAAAGGGAAGGCTCCCTAGCTGACATGCTCATGGCCCAGTGGTAGGAACTGTTGCCTAAGATTGTGCTGGTTTATCCCCTCGGCTTTTTGGCTAAGATCAAGTGTAAGATTTTGCTGGTTCATCTGATTACATTGAATGCTACTCCCAAGGGGGGGAAAAAAATCCTGTTTCCATCTTGTTTCTAAAGAAAACAATTTTTCCTGGGCAACACGTGTGAACATTTACACTGTGGGGGAAGGCCATCTTTGTGGACTTGGGGGAATATACATCCTTTTCATGTAAAAGTATTTTTTTAAAGGTGACTTTTGGTCTCCATGTAGAGGAACGTTGTTGAGAGCAACATCTTCTACCACCCCTCTCTAGAGAAAACAAAAAGGCATAGAATCGGGTAGAACTGAGACTAACTCTTTATGGGAGTCAAAAACCTCACCTTTCTCCCTTGGAGTTGCTGGTGGTTTCAAACTGCTGACCATGCAGTTCACAGCCCGGTGCATAACCACCACCCCACCAGGCTCCCAGAAGAAAAGGCATCATTTAACTAGCTTTCAAAGACCCAGTCGCTTTGGGGGTTTCTCTCTTCAGGGTTTCCCTGTTTGAAAATGTGAAATGTCTGTTCTGGTCCAGGTAAGAGGCCTCTCCAAGAGATTAGCTGGGAAAGACGCCAATGGTTCTCACCTGGGGCCAACTGGATTACAGAGTGGGCTGCTAACCACAAGGCTGGTGGTTTGAACTCCGCGGCCCCTCCAAGAGTGAAAGGTAAGGCTATCGACTCCCATAAAGGTTTACAATTCTGGGAAACCCAAAGAGGCAGTTCTACTCTGTCTGATCCGGTTGCTGTGAGTCAGAATCGACACTCTGACAAGGAGTTTGGTTTGGGGTCTATCCGTTGATTCTGAACATGGAAGGAAAAGAGGCATTCTTTACCAGGAAAGTACCCATTACAGAGTGTTGGCGCCCTATCTTAGTAAGGAGTAGTTTAACAAGTTCACACACACACACACACACACACACACACACACACACACACACACACACACTTGCTGAAACAAGAAGGAAGCCGATTTCTCTCGCACATGAGGTCAGTATGGCTCTCCAAGGATCAGCAGCCCAGACTCCTCCCAGGCACATGTAGTTAATTGTTCCCATCTGGTCTACTACCAAGGTCACTTCGCAACCCGAGAGGGCTCACAACTTGAAGAATGCCATCGGTGACTAAATGGCACAAGGAGAAACTGGAACTGGTGTGTTTTTCTGTATACAGTCTCAACCACACTAAAAAACAATAAAACAAACTCGGGGCTTGGGGAGCCTCGGTTCTTATGTGTGCCTAGGAGCCGGCCAGCAGGATGGGAAAGAGGAGGTTATGTTTCCTCTCTGGCCTGTGGTATCCTTCACGTTGACTTCCTTTGACTCCGACTTACCCATTTAGATTTGGAGGTGTATTGGGGAGTTGAGGCGGTCTATTGAACAAGGGAAGGACAGATATCGATTGGGGTAGACAGCCCATGTGTTCACCAATATCTGGTTCTCTAGTTGTAGCCAGTCAGCTCGAATGGGAAGTGATGAGTGAAGAAGAGATTGTAAGCAACATCATCCAATCCTTCCTGCCTCCGCAGTCAAAAAGCCACAGGCTGCAGAGAACACATGGTGGGTCCTTCACCCTGGATACCAGGAAAGAGCCACCGCCAACCTGGGTGTGATGTGTGTCTAATAACGGAGATTACGGAGTACAGTGATGACTGCAGAAAAATTAACATGTCCAGAGACACCGGGCCGTCTCAGCTATGCCAGAAAGGACCCATTCAAGAGGCACGCTGTGGCAGTCATCACCAAAAAAGGGCATCTTAAGATCTATGCCAGTGGTCCTCAACCTGTGGGTGGCGACCCCTTTGGGGGTTGAATGACCCTTTCACAGGGGTTGCCCAATTCCTAACAGTAGCAAAATGACAGTTATGAAGTAGCAACAAAAATAATCTTATGGTTGGGGGGTCACCACACATGAGGAACTGTGTGAAAGGGTCATTAGGAAAGGGGAGAACCACGGATCTGTGCTGTCTGTGATAGGATGATGTCTATGCGCATACAAGGAAACCCAGTTTACACAAGTATTCAAATGTATGCACCAACCACTAGAGCTAGTGATGCAGAAATTGAAGAATTTTAACATCTTCAGTCTGAAATTGATGATCCACGCAATCAAGATGCATCGATAATTGTTGGTGAGCAGAATGCAAAAGTTGGGAACAAAGAGGCAGGGACTGCAGCTGGAAAAAGATGGCCTGGTGATAGAAACGAAGCTGAGATCACAAGACCGGATGTTGCAAGGCCAACAACTTCTTCATAGCGAATACTACTTTTCAACAACATGAAATTCATGTAGTTTTTCCAGACGAAATACACAAAATTCAAATTGACTACATCTGTGAGAAGAAATGATGGAGAGGCTCAATTATCCATAGCTAAAATAAGACTACAGGCTGACTGGAACAGGCTATCAATTGCTCATATGAAAGTTCAGGCTGAAGCCCCCCAAAAATTAAAACAAGTCCTCCAGAGCCAAAATACAATGTTGAATATATGCCACCTGAATTTAGAGAATATCTCAAGAATTATTTTGACTCATTGAACATGAATGACAAGAGACCCAATGAGCTGTGGGATGACATCAAGAACATTAAACATCTCAGAAGCAACAAAGCCCACATGGAAGAAGAACACCAGCATATGTGACCATGAGCTGTCGAAAGGATCAGGTATCAAGCATCCAAGAACAAAAAATAGTATCATTGTAAAGGTGGGTGAGCGCAGAGTGGAGACCCAAAGCCCATTGGTGGGCAACTGAACACCCCCTTACTGAAGGGTTGTGGGGAGGAGACGAGCCAATCAGAGTGCAGGGTAGCAACGATGAAACATATAACTTTCCTCTAGTTCTTTAATGCTTCCTCTCC